TTCTTGTCACCACTAGTACAGCTGACATCTCCATTCTGCTCTTTCTTGAGTTTACTGCAACTTCTCCATCCTTCTCTTTCCTGAATTTACCGCGCAACACTGTGCGTTGTCTTTCTGTCGCCTCTTTTTTTTTTCCCATTTTTTTTTAGACGTGTCGCTTATCAAATTGAAATGTCTGGGTGGATATTGGACGGTGTGGACGAACTGTTTCGCTGACCAGCTTCTGAGCTGTGAAATCATCCGCATTTGTACTTTGCCAAGGATTTTTTCGGTCTTCTTTCAGTGTTTTAAATATGTATTGGCGGTAGCGTGTGATTGATATCCAAGGCGGACTGGTTTTTGACGTAAGACGATCATTCGTTCGTAGCAGTGGGCCAAATTTTAGTGTGTGGCTGCTGCTCTTCTTGAAGCATTCTGTGAGGTATGTGGTTTGTTGCTGGCCTGTTAGTGCAAGTTGCTTCCTCTCTTGGAAGATAAGGAAATTTATATTTCAGTAATGTGTTACGGTAAGTGCATGTATGTAAGAGAATACGGGTGTCGTTTTGCTGGATGTTCTGGATATGTATGCATCATTTCTGGATTATATATATATGTGTGTGCGTGTTTGTCTTTGTGTACCTCGAGAAAGGGCGCTAGGCTAGCAGCTTGTTCAGTTTTGCATTCTCACTCGCCATATGTTTCTTGATTTGCTTTCGGGAAAAAGAGAGCGAGGCTCGGAGTGGGATCATATAAAATTATGGGGATGTCTCTCTGCAAATTTTGCCCGTGGCTCCATCAACTACGATCGTTTTTTATCGTTACGAACAAGGAACAAACAGTGTTATGAGAAACGGGAAAATGCTTGTGAGATGCTGTTGTTGCTGCTTCTGATGGTGGTGCTGCTGCTGTTGCTGCTGCTGCTGCTGCTGCTGCTGCTACTGCCACTGCTCAGTGCGCTTCCGCAATCCGTAAGTTTGCTGCTGCTTGAGTTACTATGATCAATGCATCCAGCATCTTCTTCCTCCCTCATCTTTTCGCTGTTTTTATTCCTTAATCACTGTTTGCGTTTCTACCATTTTTTCCAAATTATTGTTCTTGTATATTCGTTCCTTTGAGTATCTGCGCTCCTGTTTAACCGGAAAACTTCTTAAGGGATTTACCACATTTTGATTTCTTTGGACCGTCCAGTTCTTTTAAAGTCATTACTTGGCCTTTTAACGGTCGCAATTTATCATCCCAGTAACCCCCTTTTAGCAGCATCTTTGGACGCCAACTCTGTTGGTGGGTCTTTCCTTTTTCCAGGGCGCTGCGAAAGCAGGCTGGAAGCATTTTGAAGCATCGAATTACCTCACAGAGGTTTTTATTAGTTGTCTTTTAAGAGAAATCGGAGAAACATGTAAGGTAAACCGTATAGGTGACCAATGGCTCGAGACGCTGCACGTCCATCGGCCGTTGCTTTAAGCTTCTGTTTGCTCTAGGTTCACTGATTCGTGCTCTCTCTTTTTTATTTGAATTTGACTTCGGGAACGGTCAACGTTGGCCGCTATTCCTAAATACTAGTTGAATTAATAACTCTGAAAATAACTTTGGTGAGTGAGTGACGAGTGTGATCTGAGGTTACAAGCATTTCGTCGTTTTAGTATTATGAAGTTTGGAGTTACAGGAGGACAGATGCTGAGCTCCAGCGTATTTTTTTGGGGAATTGTAAAGTAGGCGCAGCAGTTGTCGCAAAACAGGACCCATTTTGTGCATGTTGAGATGCAGCCCAGTTTAACCGACGTGCTGGATGGCATTTCCGGCATACACACTCGTTCATTCATACTCGGCAGGAGCAGCACCAACTGCTCTGCTCCCTCAACACACACACACACTGACAGCCGGGAGAACTCGAAATTCTTTTATCTTATTTAAATTTTGTTTGCATT